TGGCGGTAAGTAATGTCCCTTGGTGCTGCATCTCTGTGGATTTGCTTGTGGTGGGTTACGACCTTCTTCCTCTAACTTTATCACCTCCTCCTCTTATTCTTCATTCTTCTTCTTATTGTCTTGTTTTCGTCTGTTTCTTGTTTTTGTTTGTTATTGTTTTAGTTGTTGTTGTTGTTGTTATGTTTCGTCTGTGTTTTTTTATTCGTGTTTTTTCTTTTGTTGTTATTGATGTTGTTGTTCTTCCTTTTGTCGTATTTTTTCGTGTATTTCTTTTATCAGTTCTCGTTAGGTTAGATTAGATTAGGTTAGATTAGGTTAGGTTAGGTTAGGTTAGGTTAGATTAGGGTTAGTTCTACAGTATGTAATCTATAATTTTATGTTTACAAATTCTCTTTAGTTCTTAAATTTGTTTCGAAATTCTGTGTAATGCTAAGAATTTAATATAACACAATTGCTTGTAATCCAAGAATTTATTAACTTTAAACTCTGTCTAATGCCGAAATCTAATACACTAACGCTAACTTTAAACTCTGTCTAATGCCGAAATCTAATACACTAACGCTAACTTTAAACTCTGTCTAATGCCGAAATCTAATACACTAACGCCAAATTCTGCCTAATGCTAGACGCTAATACACCCAAATTCTGCTTACTGTAATTCTAGAGTTTAAATGACCTGAATGTTTCGTATCAGAGAGCAATTTCCTGTAGATTACAAAAACCGGGAGTTCATTTCATATTTCATATTTACTGTAACTCGATGTGAGAGAGAGAGAAAAAATATGATAAAGAGAGAAAGAAGAAAAATGAGATAGCTCTAAAAGGAGTATTTAACCCCTTTGCCATTTGGATATTTTTGTGTTTGTAGTGAGAGAAGGGGAGGAGAGGGAGAGGGGAGAGAAGGGAAGGAAAAGGGGAGAGGGAAGGAGAGGGGAAGAGAGAAGGGGAGGAGAGGGAGAGGGGAGAGAAGGGAAGGAAAAAGAGGGAGGGAAGGGAGAGGGGGCACAGAGAAGGGAGGAGAGGAGAGGGGAGAAGGGAAGGGAAAAGAGGGGAGGGAAGGAGAGGGAAGAGAGAAGGGGAGGAGAGAGAGGGGAGAGAAGGAAGGAAAAAAGAGGGAGGGAAGAGAGGGGAAGAGAGAAGAGGAGGAGAGGGGAGAGGGAGAGAAGGGAAGGAAAGAGGGGAGGGGAAGGAGAGGGGAAGAGAGAAGGGGAGGAGAGGGAGGGGAGAGAAGGGAAGGAAAAGAGAGGGAGGGGAAGGAGAGGGGAAGAGAGTAGGGAGGAGAGGGAGAGGGAGAGAAGGGAAGGAAAAAGAGGGAGGGAAGGAGAGGGAAGAGAGAAGGGGAGGAGAGGAGAGGGGAGAAGGGAAGGAAAAGAGGGAGGAAGGAGAGGGGAAGAGAGAAGGGGGAGGAGAGGGGAGAGGAGAAAAGGGAAGGGGAAAAAAGAGGAGGGAAGGAGAGGGGAAGAGAGAAGGAGGAGAGGGAGAATGGGAGAGAAGGGAAGGAAAAAGAGGGAGGGAAGGAGAGGGGAAGAGTATTTAGTGAGGGGTAGAGGGGAGAAAATGAGAGAGAAGGGAAGGAAAAAGAGAGAGGGGGAAGGATAGGGGAAGAGAGAAGGGTGAGGGGGAGAGGGGAGAAGGGAAGGAAAAAGAGGGAGGAAGGAGGGGAAGAGAGAAGGGAGGAGAGGGAGAGGAGAAGGGAAGGAAAGAGGGAGGGAAGGAGAGGGGAAGAGAGAAGGGGAGGAGAGGGAGGGGAGAGAAGGAAGGAAAAGAGGGAGGGAAGGAGAGGGGAAGAGAGAAGAGGAGGAGAGGGAGAGAGAAGGGAAGGAAAGAGGAGGAAGGGAGGGAGAGAAGGGAGGAGAGGAGAGGAGAAGGGAAGGAAAAGAGGGAGGGAAGGAGAGGGGAAGAGAGAAGGGGAGGAGAGGGAGGAGAGAGAAGGAAGGAAAAAGAGGGAGGGAAGGAGAGGGAAGAGAGAAGGGGAGAGGGAGAGGGAGAGAAGGGAAGGAAAAGAGGGAGGGAAGGAGAGGGGAAGAGAAGGAGGAGAGGAAGAGAGAAGGAAGGAAAAAGAGGGAGGGAAGGAGAGGGGAAGAGTATTTAGTGAGGGGTAGAGGGGAGAAAATGAGAGAGAAGGGAAGGAAAAAGAGAGAGGGGGAAGGATAGGGGAAGAGAGAAGGGTGAGGGGGAGAGGGGAGAAGGAAAATGGGAGTCGGGCGTAGTCAGGGTGTATCAGGAAGTGTCAGGGACTATTAGGGCGGGGTCAGGGGTAGGATAACGTTAAGCCACACACCCACACACACACACACACACACACACACACACACTCGTAAAGACAAGTCATAAATCTTGTACCGTGGCGACAACAATTCCCTCACTGTCTGACACCTTGGATTAATTTGCCTCTGTAAACTGGTCCTGAGTCGGCCGTTCCTACGTTCCCCTGAGCTGAGGTGAGGAACGGGGAACGGTTCGGGGGTAATTGGTGGTGTGGTGGGTATTTTAGGAGGAACGATGAACGGAAGAGGGTATTTTCGCGGGTTAGGTTGGATAGATAGATAGATAGATAGATAGATAGATTGATAGATAGTTAGATAGATAGATAGATAGATAGAGATATGAAGGTATATAAGGAGGTGTGAGGGTGGTGGTGGTAAGAGAGGGGGAGAGAAAGAGGGAGGGGGGGGTGTGGTGAGACGAGAAAGGGGGAGGGAAAGAATATAGAAGGAAGGAAGGAAGAGAGAGAGGAGGGGAGGGAAGGAAGAGAGAGAGAGAGGGTAAGGAGGGGGTAAGATACAAGGAGGGGAGGGGGGGAGGTAAGTGGGAGGTGGGTGTGGATAAATGGAGCAGTTTGTTTTGGCTCTGCTAGTGGTCGTGGTAATGGTTGTGAGTTGGGCCAATGTTATGTTTCCTCTGGTTATTGTTAGTAAGTGTTATTATTGTTATTGCTTTATTGTTGTTAGACTCTTCCTTCCCCCACCACCCAGAAAAATACATATAAACAGGTATTTTATTCGTTTATTTATTTTTTATGATTTACGGGTCAATTTTTTTTTTTTGGGGGGAGTGTTTCTAGATATGAAAATTAATTGGTTTTCTTTTAGTTTAATTGGCTTACCTGCATAGCCACCATAGAAAGGACAACATCATCAGGAACACACACACACACACACACACACACACACACACACACACACACACACACGATTAAAATTACGTGAACTAAAACGTGAATTTTGATGTAATTAAGACCACTACCCAGACTAATTATAGGAAGAGCGTTTGATTGACCTATTAGCCTTAATTAGCAGAAGGCTGGCGACTAAAACTTCTCATCTGATCTTAATTAAATGCATTAGATTATTATTCATTAGTTAGTTCTGTGTGTGTGTGTGTGTGTGTACAATCACTCTACGTTCATCCTACACTCCTACACAATACACTCACTATACACTCACAATACACTCACTAAACACTCACTATACACTCACTATACACTTACAACCAGTACCAAGTCAACCCAGGGTGTTATTTCTTTACCTGTGCTAATGTCAGGTAGGAAAGTACAGGTAACTAACAATTAAAAGGAATTAGACTGTAATTATCGAGGGAAACTGAGATATTTGGGTGTAATTCAGGTCATTATCTCAACTAATTGCTTGGGAAGGTGTAAGTATCGGTAAATGTAGTAATTACCTTTTATGGTCAATTAGGTGAAATTTAAACAAGTGAATTTTTTTTAAAGTTTTCGTAGTTTTAGAGAGTGGTTAGGTTAGGTTAGGTTAGGTTAGGTTAGGTTAGGTTAGGTTAGGTTAGGTTAGGTTAGGTTAGGTGAGGTTAGGTTAGGTTAGGTTAGGTTAGGTTAGGTTAGGTTAGGTTAGGTTAGGTTAGGTTGCTATTGTTATCTTTCATACATAGCAAATTTTACTACCAGTACCACTAGCACTATTACCGGACACTTCTACCTGAACAACTACCACTATTACGTACACACATACTGTATATTATGCACACAGACAACAACCCAAACTACCAGCACAACTTGCATCTATCACCACTACTACCACTGTTACACACACACAGTGCAGGACTGACGTAACGTGAACCCGGCTATCACAAAGGCTTTGCAATACCGTGTTAAATGTAACCCTTGTGTGGTGGTGGGAGGCGATATAGGTGTGAGAGAGAGAGAGAGAGAGAGAGAGAGAGAGAGAGAGAGAGAGAGAGAGAGAGAGAGAGAGAGAGAGAGAGAGAGAGAGAGAGAGAGAGAGAGAGAGAGAGAGAGAAGCAATATGTGTGTGATGTGATATATGTATGATTGAGAGTATGTATATATGTATGTATGTATGTATATATGTATGTATGTATGTATGTATGTATGTATGTATGTATGTATGCATGTATGAGATCATTAGTCAGGTTACAGTACTATTCTGTTAACCTCATACTTACAGATCAGAGGAGAGTGGCCAGTTGTCTGGTATATTTGATAACATTAATTTTAAGAGAGTTACCCCTCTCTTATGTTTTATTTTCTTCAAGGGGGGACTGTAAAAAAGTCCACCAGGAGTTTCTTATTATTATTATTTTTATTATTATTATTATTATTATTATTATTATTATTATTATTATTATTATTATTATTATTATTATTATTATTATTATTATTATTAGTGGATATAGTTATTTTATTTCATTATTGTATTTCTCCAGATTCTTATCATAACTATCAAGATATAATGACAAATTTGTGTTAATTACGTGGGTGGTAACTGTAGTTTCTCGACCTCCAATGGTAGATGTGGAAGGTCAAAGTTCATATTGTTTATGGTAACAGAGATTTTGTACAATGGGTCATCTTAGTTATTTCTCACCTGCTGATTAAACACCTTAATCCTACCTGGGATGGGGTTAGGTTAGGTTAGGTTGAGGTAACTAATCCTCTTATCTACCTTTACTTTAATGAATCTTTAACAGGTAAATGAATAAAGGACAAAAATAATACCAAGACCAAAACATTTACACATTTATTTACACATATACATAGTGATTAGTGATAAGTTTTTTGTTTTTTTTTTATTATTTTTAATGGGTACAAATCTTAGAGCGAACAGCTTACGTAAACACAAAGAAGGTGCAGAAGCAGGAGAGTTGCCAACACGACGTCCATTGATACACATTTCTTTTTACCTGTGGACAAAGAAAACGGTGTGTTAATATGATGCCGACAAACTTATTAAACTTACCTGTGAAAAATGAGGTGGTGGGTGGTGGGCTGGGTAGAGGAGGAGGGTGAGTGCAGGAAGAGGAGGAAGGAGAGGGAAAAAGAGAGGGCAGGAAGGGGGTAGAGAGAGAGAAGAAGGAGGAGAGGAGGAATAAGAGAGAAAAGGGGAGGAAGTAGGTGCGGACAGGAGGAAGTAAGGAGAGGAAGAGAGAAGAAAGATGTTGAAGAAGGTGGAGAGAGAGGGAGAGAGAGAGGGGGGGGGCTCTATACTTCGACAGGGTAAAATGCGGCCTTAATTGAATAACGAGCCAGAAATTTAATCTTCGGCGGCTGTTACCAAACTCCTTATAAAGTGGTTGGTTAACATATTCTTTATATATGAATATTACCCTCCTCTCTCCCACCCCTCTCCCTTCCCTTTATCCTACCTCCCTCTTCCTCTCCCCCTCTCTCCCACCCCTCTCCCTTCCCTCTTCCCTACCCCCCTCTCCCTTCCTTCCCTCTCTCCTACCCCCTCCCTTCCCCCTCTTCCCTCTCCCCCTCCCCCCTTCTTTCCTGCCCTCTTCTTCCCTCTCGTCACCCTTTCATCTTCCCTACCTATTTTGAACCCTCCTCCCTCCACTCCCTCTCCCCCTTCATCTCTTTTCTCCTTTCCTTCCTTCCTCTCCTCTCCTCTTCCTTCCCCCTTCCTTCCCGCCATGGTGGTGGGGGTATTGGTCTGGCTATACTCTGATGGAGTGTCTCTGTGGGGTTGATTAATGCTTTACCTACCCCCCCACCCTCCTCCCTCTACCCCCAGAACACCACCTGGAAGTGAGAGGTCCAGTATGATGCTGTGTTAAGTTAAGAGGGATTATAATGCTGTGTTTAACGGAATATAAAACCCAACACAGCAACTACTAATTTGCATACATTAATCCACATCACTGTAAACACCTTAACAAACAAACAAACAAACAAACAACAACAACAATAACAACAACACTCTTATCACAGCGGCAGAGAGAGAGAGAGAGAGAGAGAGAGAGAGAGTGAGAGGTGTGTTAGACCTGCTGTGTTCTCGTGCTGTACAGAGGTCATTACAGCCTCTTGTTCCTGGAAGCTGTACAACCCGGAAAAGATTAATTCAGTGTTTAACTTTGTTGTTGTTGTTATTGAATAAATGTTGTGACTGACTCTACGGTGTGGCTGTGTGGTGAATATTGAGGTAGATTGAGAGAAAACTATGCTCTCTCTCTCTCTCTCTCTCTCCCTATCGCATTTTCTCCCCCTCTCTCTCTTCCTTTCCTTGTCTTTCTCTCTACTTATTACTCTTCGTTCCTTTATCTCTCTCCTTCTCTCTCACACACACACACACACACACTCACACACACACACACACACACACTCACCAGTATTATAGTAATATTCCTGGGCACTAAGGTAGTCCCTGTTGGGCAGCTCGACCTTGGTTGACATGACGTGAAGTTCACCAAGAGAGGTCATGCAGGTCACGGTGATGACCCCGCGGTGGAAGAGGTCATCTAGAGCCTGGAAGACGAGTCCGACTGTTCGCTGATCCACAGGTCGTATGTAACTCTGCAAGGATGAAGGGTCGTATTAGTGGGGGTCGTTGTTGATGGAGGTCAGGCTCTCTCTCTCTCTCTCCCTGAACGTCAATATGTCACAACATATGTCCCACAGTATCACCCACAGACCAATATGTCCCCCACAGTATCACCCACAGACCAATATGTCCCCCACAGTATCACCCACAGACCAATATGTCCCCCACAGTATCACCCACAGACCAATATGTCCCCCACAGTATCACCCACAGACCAATATGTCCCCCACAGTCACCCACAGACCAATATGTCCCCCACAGTATCACCCACAGACCAATATGTCCCACAGTATCACCCACAGACCATATTTCTCCCACAGTAACCCCTGCAGAATAGAATCGTCTCCCCAAGTGAGCTCACTCTTCCTCCTCCTCCTTCTTCCTCCTCCTTCTCTCTTCCTCCTCCTCCTGGTCAGTATCAGTGGCCGTGTTGTTATTCTGCTCCGCCATAACACCTCTGTCAAAATTTGTCTGCCCTGGCCCAGAGTTAAGAGCCCTCCTCCCACTGCCCCTCCTCCTCATCCTGCCCTGCCTCCTACCCCGCCTGCATCCTCCCGCCCCGTCCCAATATCCCACGTATGGTGCTCTTCATCATAGCGAATACCTCTTCCTCTCTTCTCATTCGTCTGTCTCACTTCCTAGTCTTGAAGATCATGGTTAACTCTATATCTATATATGTTAAACTATATCTCTGTTAATCCGTATCCTCACACAATTAAATAAAAACTAACTTACGAATATCTAAGAATTCCACGTATCCCGAGTAAAGATTTTAACAATTACGTCAAATTTTCCATTAATTTTATGGTAGAGTCTCAGTGGAAATTCGACTCCATTTTATCTTCCAATATAAAATAAGTCAAAGTCAGATCTGTTGTTATGTCTTGCAGCTGTGGGAGAGATATCTTAGGAATCCCTGAATCCGGATTATAGGTGTTGACGTCGTGTTGAGAGTAAAAACACAACAACAGCGGTGTATCATCTGTATGCTGGTTCTGTGTGGGTGTGTGTGGGGGAGGGGTGTGGGGGAGTGGGTGTGGTGTGGGGGAGGGGTAAGTGGGGTGATGGTGTGAACGTACTGAGTGCCAGGACGACCATTGATGCTCCAAGACATGTGAGGAACATACTCGGTGTTCATAGAGGTACAGCGAGAGCCACGATGTCCCTTGGTGTGTATGACTCCTCCTTCCCCGTCAGGAGCGGTGACTGTAGAGGCTCAG